TATATTGCATTAGGTCCTTTTAGTGTTTCCAGAACCTCTTCCAAACAATAAACACGTAATGATTTAAATTCGGGAACGGCGATGGAACGGGAACAGCGTATATATCCAGACCTTTATGGCACTCTATATACTTTAAGCTTGCAAAGACTAATACTATTAAGAAGGGTTGAAAATGGGGTTTTTCGGAAAGATTATACCACAACGGCGCGAAGATTAAACGGCAAATGTCCTGCTAGATGAGATGAATCGACGTCGACAACTGCATTGGAATGTAAAGAGGGAATGTTTGTGGTTCACCAGTGGGATCGTAACTTATAAGGTACATCAATACGTTATGAACATTAAAACACTTTCGAATTGGACTAATACGTAACATTAGTCTGTTTTGATTAGTTTTATCAGGGAATTATATTAAATTTAATGAAAAAGCAAAATTAAGGGTTATCGAAAACTTAGTTATTTATGTACAGTTAAAAAATCTGTTAGTGTGAGAGCTTATTAGAGTTTAGGTGGTAGGGTTTTCCTGGTTTTTTTCTCAGCTGTAAGTCAAACAGCACTATTAGAACATGGTAGGTACTATCTGGAATGCAGTGATGGTCAGGTTAATAAAGAATACCTTAAAAATCACTTTGAAAGAAATTGTAGATCCTCCTTTTTTCCTTTTTATTAAAAGCAGAACGTATTATAGTCACTATTCATCAACAGACCATGCAGATCTTGAGTTTTATACCATATCTCATAGGTAGTTCAAGTTATCTGTTTTAGTAAACATTTTGATAGTAAATAAAATATTGTATGCATACCTATTAAAATTACTTTTTTTGATATTTTCCAAGCTAATAATATATTTAATTTTGATACACTAATACATCACCCTGTATATATTAATTGACAAAAAATTAAGCAGAAGCAACAGGAATACGACGTAGATTACCAACTGGGTATTGTATGTAATTTTTCCTACCCTGTATGCATAAATGAATAAACCAAAATAATGTCAAAATTATTTACCCTTATCGTACAATTAACATTTCCTTATATTTTTCTTTAATTCTTTTAGCTATAAGTAAAAATAAAAACCACCTGAAGATCTTCATCTGCTTAAAAAATTCATTTTTCTAATTTATCAAGGTAATTAATTATGTGTTGGATAAATGTTTAAAAAGGTTAGTTGTTTACTTGAGAATTTTGCTTTAAGGATAGCGATCGAATAAAAAATGTTTTCCCAAAAACAGAATCAAAAGCTCTGGCCCTTTGTTTAAACCTTAATCTCGTCTTCCTTTGAACAGCTCGTGTGTTGTTATTTTTTTTTTCTGAAATCCAATTTTGATTGAAGAAACCGACCACTGGAGACCTTTTTAAAAGGATCTGTCATAGTAAAAAACATTCAATAAAAAAGAAAACAGACGGGATTTAATCAAAGGGGACTGGACAAGATTTACCATTTGAGTTTTCCGATTATTTTTTTTTTTAAATACATTATTTGATTAACATTATTAAAATTATTTTTTAAATTCGACTTATTACATTTTCGATCAACTGGACTTTTGATGTTTTTTTAAATTTAACTATTTATAATTTTAATCAATTCGATTCATTTATACTTTGGAACTTCTAACTTTAGATCACTTTTTCGCTTATTAAAAATAAGCGCTCCGGTCATTCTATCGACTGATCACTTCGAAACCAACCGTGAATTGAGCTCTCCACTGCGCATCGCATTAATAAGCCTACGTTTATATTTGACATAGAATATAATGTTGTGTAGGATGTAAAATATCATCTACATTATCATTATTTATGATTTGCAAGCTTTAGTATCGGCTAATACAGTTTTAAGTAAATATTCTATAATTCGTTTCAAAATATTCTAATTTACTGTAAACCTACGTACTCAATCAAACACATCCCACCATCCAATCAGCATAATAGCATCGAGACATTCATAGCAACGATCCTAACAAGTAGGCAACCGAACAATCCGCGATACACAACAAACGTAGTATGTACTTGTGCTCGTACTTATATTAGGTATGAGTTTAGGGCACAAAGGGTTTCTGAGTTCTGAGTTGTGACTAGACGTTGTAGTGGCGTCGTGGCGCAATGCGGTAGCCCTTCGTCGGCGTCCGTTCGCTCTGTGTGGCGGTCGCACCTCTAGAGACCATCGAGTTTTCGATTCCGATGGTTTTTCCTACCGGCTAGACGGAAAGTTCAAACGAGTTATAGTCCGAGGCCAAAAATAAAAAACTTTCAATTAACAGGTCATTAGAGCAAAATTGCGAATATGGTACCTGAAAAAAGGATTGTTTCTTTGCGCACCTGGCGGTCAAATAAAAGAGACCGTCAGAGCTACCACAAGTTTAAATATTTCTTGTCCAATTTGAACATCCCATCTCATATGCCAGTCTAAATAAATACCCAGATATTTGACAAATTTGGAAGATTGTATTCGGATTTCGATACCATGATTATTGATTATTGTATGCAGGTTAAGTAATTTCGTAACAAGGAAATTGTAAAAAGTATGTTTTGGAAAAGGTGATGGTAAGTAATGTCTGATTGAAGCTGTCAATTAATTTATTTAAATCAAGCTCTACCGAATTTTTTAGATCTCTCCAACTAGAAAATTCACAGTAGATCACGGTGTCATCTGCGAAACTTATTATTATTCCTGACGATGGTGTCATTTAGAGTAAATAGTACTCGAACCAAGACAGTTCCCTGTAAGAGTCCCTACTCAATTATTGTTTTATTACTGAGAGCATTAATATTTTCAACATATTGTCTACTACTACTGATATTAATTTTAAACAAATTAAAGTCGTAATTAAACAAAGTTTCTAGCAACTGCTTGTGCAAGATCCAAAAATACTCCCATATTTGCCTTTCCTTTTTCTAGGCGTAAGTGAATTTTCGGCGTAAGAACTTTTATAGTATCTGTTGAAACCGAACTGATCTTCCTATAAAAATTTATGTTCTGATGGAAACTCTGTTATTCAATTATTTCAATTGCCTAAGCGAAGTTTGATATAAGTATAATAGGTCAATAATTAAATACTAATTGTTTATCTCCAGATTTATAGACCGGTTTAACTATGCCTGTTTTAAATATAACTGGAAAATTTCCTTAAGATAAAACAATGCGTTAGTGGTTTAACAATATATTCTTTTGTTTATTTTAAACTTTCATGATTTTATCAACACCTTGAGATTCTTTAGATTTTAATATATTTATGTAATCTAATATTTCCTTTGTCATTTTGTCTAGGTACTCATCAAAAAGCCAGTATTATTAAGCCATATAATATGTTTTGAATCATTGTGTTTCAATACAAAGTTAAAACAATACTAACAATATCATTAAATATGTTTGCTCTATAAAGCAGCAGAATATTTCAAATAATTTTAATTTTAAATTACTTTACTAGATTATTTTGATCTCTATTACTCATGCGCAAGTCAAAATTCCTGTTTAATTCATTAAAATTTGTTGTTACTGCTTCTATATCAGGTGTAAGGGGCATGGGAGTGAATGATATAAGTAACATTAATTTCGCTATATTGATATGTGAAGGTGTCATTACATTATGTTTTTGATCATGATTCTCTTGATAGACCTTTGTAGTAGTAGTTCAGTACATACACTGCAGTTTCCTCTATTTCCTGAAATAAATGACATAAGGTATCTTCTATCAGGTCGATGTTATGCATATTATGACGAGGTTATAATGCCATGTTAATACTAGTTCTCTAGTACTTGTCTTATTTTGGGTTAGGCAATTACTGTCCATTTATGAACTCTCTAGCCTATCTCTGTCCTAATGAATAAAATTATTCCAAAGTTCCTGAGATTTGTTTAACACCCACTATTTTGTGCATGTTCTGATTGCTGTCTCTATGTCACCTAAGAAAAGTTCTGGGCCAAAATAGTAGTTTGAACAGCAAGAGTGGATATGATGGCTATTATGCATAAAGACGAAATTTGAGCACGATTACACTTTTCGTCAGTCTTGGCTTCGCTGATATAGACGAATCTCTTGTGAAATATTATTTATTGATTTTTCACAAGAATCACTCATTTTTAATTTTGTTTATTCTCAATAACTAAAAAATTTACTAACAATTAGTTTGACAGAATAGTTATTATTTAATGTTAAAAAAAATTAGTAGCCTGGTGATCAAATATGAACTGTGATTGGTGCATTTCATGTAAGTAGAATGGGTTCAAAATATTGGTATTCGCTTAGTTGATAATTTTCGTTCTGTAAACTGTCCTTAGAATAGAAAATATCCTTTTCGGCTCCTTTTTGGACTAGTAAATCAGCCTCTTCATTACTCTTATGTCCTCTATGTAGCCTGGTACCTAGCAAAAAGTTACCATGAATCCATCTACTACATAATTTCTACAATTCTCTCATACTAACATTTATTATAATAATAATAACCATATGAAAATCAAAATTAGCATGGTTTAAATAATTGAAACCAAAATTTGCCAGTTAGTCCATCATCCCTTTATTCGTTGAGCCACATTTGGCGCCCGACTATTCCACTCGACGATCCAATCAACAGCGAAAAGCGAATGAATGAACGAATGAATGAGAGTAAATGAGTTTCACTTCCTGCATTTCCAACAGTAATAATTATAAACGGTTAGGCCGTTTAGCCTCGCTATTTTGCAATAAAGCTTTTAAGGTATCAAGCTATAAGCTTTTATGGGGTGTTAGCACTTCAAAAAAAAAACGTTTCTTTCTTGTAGATGCTATAAAAATTTGACAAATGACATTATCCTGGTGGAATGAACACTGATGATGAATGGTTGGAATATTGTTTTGGGGTAAATATGCGCGATGTTACCGTTGGAAGCTTGGAAAATTTGTAGAGACGCGGGAAGTTCTTTTTATTTTTTTTTATCAGTTATTTGATTTTTAACATTTAACTTATTCAATAAGATCTTGGAGATTCCCTTAGGGGTGTCTTGGGAATAAAAATAAGTATGTTCACTCCTTTAAAAAAGAAAACAAAAAGACTAAAGCATTAATATATTTTCTATAGTATTTTCTATAGTATTTTTCTATAGTATTTTCTATAGTATTTTCTATAGTATTTTCTATAGTATTTTCTATAGTATTTTCTATAGTATTTTCTATAGTATTTTCTATAGTATTTTCTATAGTATTTTCTATAGTATTTTCTATAGTATTTTCTATAGTATTTTCTATAGTATTTTCTATAGTATTTTCTATAGTATTTTCTATAGTATTTTCTATAGTATTTTCTAAAGTATTTTCTATAGTATTTTCTATAGTATTTTCTATAGTATTTTCTATAGTATTTTCTATAGTATTTTCTATAGTATTTTCTATAGTATTTTCTATAGTATTTTCTATAGTATTTTCTATAGTATTTTCTATAGTATTTTCTATAGTATTTTCTATAGTATTTTCTATAGTATTTTCTATAGTATTTTCTATAGTATTTTCTATAGTATTTTCTATAGTATTTTCTATAGTATTTTCTATAGTATTTTCTATAGTATTTTCTATAGTATTTTCTATAGTATTTTCTATAGTATTTTCTATAGTATTTTCTATAGTATTTTCTATAGTATTTTCTATAGTATTTTCTATAGTATTTTCTATAGTATTTTCTATAGTATTTTCTATAGTATTTTCTATAGTATTTTCTATAGTATTTTCTATAGTATTTTTTATAGTATTTTCTGTAGTATTTTCTGTAGTATTTTCTATAGTTTTTTCTATAGTATCTCCTATAGTATTTTCTATAGTATTTTCTATAGTATTTTCTATTGTATTTTCTATTGTATTTTCTATAGTATTTTCTATAGTATCTTCTATAGTATTTTCTATAGTATTTTCTATAGTATTTTCTATAGTATTTTCTATAGTATTTTCTATAGTATTTTCTGTAATATTTTCTGTCGTATTTTCTGTATTATTTTCTATAGTATTTTCTGTAGTATTTTCTGTAAAATTTTCTGTCATAATTTTTGTTAATATTTCTGTTATATTTTCTGTTAAATTTTCTGTTATATCTTCTGTTATATTTTGGTGTATTTTTTGTTATATTTTTTGTTATTTTTTCTGTAGCTTGGTGTGTAATTGTAGGTTTTGTAATTGTGATTGTAATATTTTATCTAGCAGTTATATCATGTATTATTCCTGTAATTATTTGTGTAATATTTTGAGCATTATTTTGTGTAGTATTTTGTAAAATATTTTATGTAGTATTTTATGTAGTTTTTTCTGTAGTCTTGTCTGTATTATGTTCTGCAGTATTGTTTGTAGTATTTTCTCTAGTAATTTCTATAATTTTCTGTAATATTTACCTATTTTTGTGATAGTACTTAAAATATTAAATGAATTATATATTTATGGTTGAATACGTTAAAAAAAATATTTGAATAATTTGTTTGAATTATTTGAAGATTGCAAGGATACATGGTAGTGCAAAAGATGGCAAATAGAATATGATGATGGCTGAACTATTATATATTCATGTCATCAAAAATGGATTAAATTAAAAATGCACAAAACCTAATTTTGTCAAAGTTTTATCTATTTGTTAAGCATTGTCGAAGTGTCTGAAACCTTGTGTAAAAATCTTTTAAATATCTTATATAAAAATCACTTCTTTTTAAAATAATTTAAATAAACCAATTTTAAAGAAAGACAATTTAAAATTGAAACTTTATTAGCACAAAAAGTATTAGGGCTTATTTATTTTCGTTGAGTAATAATAAATACTCTTACTGCCGGTAATACCATAATTTTATACGTAGCATATATTTTACTTTTGCATGTTTCTAACATCAAGAAATAAACCAACTAAATGACTACAAGAAATCGTAAATATGAAGTATTTACTGCAGTTTCTAAAGAGTAAATCTTGAATAAATAAACTATAAAATATTTATATTTTCGACGAGTTTTGGTATATGTTGCATTTTTATAAACCCGTGATTTTAACTCAGGGTTGGTTTTGAATATTTTTTTTCTAAAATAACAATAAATTACTTTTCTATGTGATTCTCCAGGTAATTTGTTTTTCACTTATTTATCAAGAACATTCTCCAATTGATTTCACACTAGAATATATAATGTTTTCATTAATGATTTGTTTGTAATTTGATTTTGTATTATGTTTAATGTTTTCATGAAAATATTAAATATCTCCGTTATTATTATTACTTACAATAAACAATATTATAAAATATCACATTACTTAATAAACATTGTAATAAAAAAGCGAACCTATAGAGCAATCAGCATTTTATTAATAACATATTTATTGAACTTTTAGAATCTTTTGAATCATAAAACTCAGAACTGCAGAAATTCTACAAATATGGAATAATAAAAAATACTTAAATGTTATGCAGATTTCGTAGTGATAACAATAGTTTAAGTAAAATGGGTCTTTAGTTAATTGAAAAATCTCAATTTTGTAATATATCTTGTAACGGTTGGAACCGTTTTCGTTATTTTGACGCAAACATCTCTACTCTAATGTCAATTGTCGTTTATGCCTTGCGTCAAAAGTTGGTATTTCATTTCAATTTGTATCTGTCAACGAAGCAAGTTGATTTAAATTTTAAATATATCTTGAATTAAACCTCTTAGATACAGCTTGAAACTTCTAAATCGTCTTGATATAGCCAGGCTAGAAGGAAAAGGTAAAAATATTAAGAAAGGAACTAGGAAATTTGCACTGGAACCAGATAAAATGCCTTTTACTATTAAATGAACGATTTAAAATTATTAACAGCCGTATGCATCAACTAACCTAGTTGAAAATTTTTTGTGATTTTTTAATAATAATTTCTCAATAAATTCCACGGTAACCTATATATTTTATTGTAAAAAACAAAACCTAAATATTTCAAAAACCTTTTTAGTTTTTTTCTACTCCATCTAATCAATAAATAATAGTAAAATTAACTATAATTCGAAAATTGTTGTTGAAGTCTTACTTTCTCATAAGACACTGTATAAACACACACATTTTAAAAAAAAAAATTCTCAAAAATTTGCACGGTAAGGTATAGTTAAAAGTTCACTATTAGATAAATAAGGACATCTACTATTAGAAAAAAAATAATTTTAGTCATAATCTAATATTTTTTATTTAACATTGGTGGCGAAAGGACCTCCTTAAATTATTTTTTCTGTATGCTCAACAAAGTTAGCTCAAATTGTAGATGTCTCACCAAGGAAAACAAATTTAAGTGGGTTTAATACTGATACAAACTACTAAAACATTATTTCCAACTGTCATTTTTCCTTGAGACTATTATTTATCTAGAAACTTAGACGACTGTGATAAAACAAAACACATCCATAACAATTTGAATACCACCTATTCCAAGGCGAACCGAAAAATTGTTGGCGATAATCTATTAGGGCTCGTTACAATCTAACAAATTTCTGACAGGCAATCCAACATTTTTATTCGTTCCAACTTTTCCAACTGTCATTTAGAAGAACACCCTTTTGTTTGCCATAAAAAGATTCGAGGAGAAGTTCAAATTTTCTCTGAACAAATTTTCAACCGGCTAGCATGGTGGTTGGTTTATTGAGTTAGCAGGACAAAAATAAGTTAAATAAACAAAGTAAATTCTATAGATTTCCATTAAATAGTTTTAAGTAATTACATTTTCTCTTAAAATGTAATTCAATTCTAGCTCTAAATATTAAATACATATGCAATAAAATAAATTGTCTCCTATAACTGGCCTATAATATTTTGAAATCATTAATGACTTTGGAATGTGAAAAACTTGTCAAAAAATACCATCTTCTGGAAAATTATCTGAATGTCGCTTACGTCTTTTTGTCGTAACAAGGACGAGAGCCACAAATCAAAGTACGTGACGGGAGCGCATTATTTATATTTGACAAACCAATAGACTAACTTTTGTTAAAAATTGGTAAAAATAGGTTATGAAATTACAAGTTAAGCCCTTTCTATCTAAATATTTTGTTAGATCTGTCATTTTCACTTATAACTACTGGAAATAGATACCTACCTTTTTGATTTAAAGGGGATAAATTTATTTTTATTTCGAATTCCGATATAACATAAAAATTTTCATAATTAAGTGTATAGCAAAAATTAGTTAATTTTAAAATGCAAATAATAAAAAAATTGAATTTTTTTTGCTGAAAAAACATGTTTAAATTTTGGTTTAAAACATTAGTATTTTTATTTTTTATAGATTTGGGACAACAATAGAAAACACAACGACCGCAGCAACGATGGCGTCATCTATGCATCTCAGATGTTAACTAAAGGTACACGTCGTTTGTAGACGGACATTAGACGTAGACAGCAGTGAACAATTTGTAAATAAATGTCAATTAGTTGTATGTATATCGCAGAATCTTTGAATTTTAAATTTTGAGTTCATGATTGTGTTCTCTAGATAAACTAAGCGAAATGGTTTTGGTTGTTTTTGTGTAAAATTTGAGGACAATAAATTTATTATGTAATATTACAAGTCAGGGCACGGTATTGCATTAGTAACTCATGCTACATGAACAAATTTAACAACCCCAATGTGGCGCTCTTTAATTTAACGAAGTTAGATCTAGCCATATAAGTATAAAAAACAGCAGCCTACTTTTGTTACAAAGTAGGTATTTATTTATTATTTATTGTTTTATGTTGTAATTAAATTTGATATATGAAAAAATATTTGAATTCCCATTACTGAGTTTGCACTTAAAAGTTTTAAATAAGAGACCGTTTGGCCATTCGTTTAAAAAATGTCATAAAAAATGTAACGATAAAAAATTACAAAATATTTATCATGAATAGATTTACAATAATTAATAAATAATAGACAGTAAGTGTAGTATTCTTTATAATAAATAATTTAGTATAATTACATTGTTTAAATTTATTTACCATAACATGAGAGTGCAATCGATATTTATACAACCGTTATTATAAGGTTTTTAAATTATTTTTATTAAAATGACTTAATAATGTAATATCAAGTAGATATCTTAAGACATATGGGAACGTTAGGAAATTAAAATACTAAACGGAAACGTTATAAAAATTATTTTTCATTCGGTTCCAAACATTTTTCACGATTACTTAATAGAAAAAGATATAATGTAATCATGTAGTATTTATTTGTTTTCCTCCTCCAGCATAATTTAATTAAACCTTTTAATATCTTTAAGCATAAAATTTATATTTTAATAAAAGATTATTTATTTTTTCAAAAATACCTATTACAACAATAATTACCAGTTTTAGCTATACTCTTACCATACAAATTTATGTTCCATTTAAAATAATAGAGTTGAGATCTACTTCCGTTATAAGCTGAAGTAACACAACTGTTATGTTCTGTCCATATTTGCGTTATCTCTAATTAAATATTTAGGAATTTTTGTATAACTCTGACCTAAATAAAACGAATTCACTTTAGCATGTCTGGACACACTGAAATATTTTGTTTTATTGTCACGAGCAGCATCATTAAAAGTAAATGTGGAATTAGGTTTAGCTTCAGATAGATACATTATATGTTTGTACTTGCATATATTTATAGTTAGGTAAATATAAAGATTTAGAATAGATATAAACAGTTAAAAATGTTTATCCTTTAGATGTTGTATTATTAAAATGATTCTTTTATTATTTATAAATATGATATAGATATGAAAAAAGTACTATTTAAAACGAAAATAATAAAAATAACTTACCCTATCAAATCATTTTGATATTATTTTTATTCGTTTAATATAAACACTAAAATCTTAGTCGATTATTTCTTATGTTCTTTTTCTTTCATCTTATTTTTCTTCTTTCTTCTTCATCTACTTCTTCGCTTCGATTTCGCTTTTCGCTTTCTCTTCTACGCCATCCTCGTGTAAATGTATATTTTTTTTAACAACACAGTACTTCTCTTTATATTCAACACATTGATGGCCACTCGTCTTTTTTATGTGCTATAGGAGGCCACAAT